TTTAAATCTAAAGTAGTATCATCAATTAGTTCTTATCCACTTTTCGCAATTAATATGAATCTTGGGGCTGTCAAAAATAAAAATGTGGAGATCAAGCAATTGGAATTAGGAAAGGAATTAGAATGACGAATGCTAATAGAGAAGAATTGAGAACCAAGAGAGAGGGAATCAAGTTAGTTCTACAACTTAAGCATTTTTCAATGAAGAATTTTTGGTAATGTTGGTAATGTTAAATTCTTTAGTTGTTTGCTCTTCTTCTATGACATGCACATCTGTTATGTGATGTTTAATAAAGAGTTTTGTCATCTTCAAAATCACTTGGTTGACCACACCATTTATGTTTGTGTTAGTATATGTTTTGATAGTTTTAACTTCATTATTTCTATATGTATTAAAGCTTGCACAATAAGAGCATATTTTATAAAGACACTTAATTACTGGTGAAAAAATACATTAATTACTGCCCAACTTGATTGATTTATATCATAAGAAAAGTTTCATAGCAGGTGAGTATTATTGTATACTCTTTTAGCCTTGCAACATATCATTCTAATCATTTGCTATTTTTTTTATTTGAATTTTCAAACTTTGAAGGCAATGGCGAGTTTGGAATTTGGATTTGAGTTGGTGGGGAGGCAAGCCTCTCATGTCTTTGCAACACAGAATTCTAAGATTCTTCTTAGTTCTTGCTTGGTAAAGAGAATAGAACTAGAGATAATTCTAAAAGGATCAAATGAACTTATTTTACTTGACAAAAAGAAATTAAATTATTTAAAATCAAGTATTAAGCATTAGAATGGTTAATGGTATGTAACTCAGCAATATGGTTGATGGTCCTGCCTTTGTGCTTCCATGTAGCTAATCATGTTTTTTTCCTTTTTCTTTTTCTTTTTTCTTTTTTCCTATTTGCTAACTACGCTTTTTGTTCTTTTCACAGAAATAGCATCCTCCAGCTTTCCACGTGTTACAGGTACCATCATGCATTTGCTTATGACATGTATGTTATCCGAGTAGTTTCAAAACAATCAAAGGTTAGTGATTTCTTCTCCTTTTGGCATCAAGTGATTTCATTGCTTCTAAAAGTAGAGGCACTAAAGTACTTGCTAATAATTTGATTATAAAATAATTGAATTCCTTGCTAATATAGTCCAAAAATATTTAAAAACCATTTTTAAGCCTATAAAGAGCAGTATAATCTCTTATAGGTTAAACTTGCCAATTTAGGAAAAAAACATGTAGGAGTTTTATCTTCATAGAGCTATTTTCACCGATTGATTGCTTTGTGTAGCAATTTATAGGGTACAAGACAGAGTAGTTTTAAAGGTTTTTAATGACAGAAATAGTGCCATTGATAGTAGACGTCTTTAAGTATGTGAAAAAACATTACATGCAATGAGATTTACCAACATTTTAAGTATTGATTCCAATGCTATGTTATTTTTAAAGATTTAAAAAATCACCTTAATTATTTTGACTCAAGCCAAGCTCATTGCACATGTTATATAATGTTGGTGCCAAGTCAACTTTGCTTTTCTCTGCAATTCACCTTGATATTTTGATTAAAAAAATCACTTTAGTTGATTTTTTATAGCTAATTATTGCAGGTTGAGCAGGAGTTGTTTGTGTAATTCCAAATAGAATCCCAAGTTTGTAGACTACTAGAAGTTGAGATTTTCTATAAGCTTCTTTCACATTCCAGTGTTTTTTACTTGATAGAAGGCATTTTTCCACTAAAACTTTATATTTTATATTGTAAGCTTCCTTTTTTATATCAGGTGTTAAGTAGTGAACAATAAAAGCCTGGATCAAGTAAGAAACATCTCTTCTGTAGCAGAAATAATAAAAGCTTATTGAAGGATCATCTAACTTTCATTCCTTAACTGCCAGTCCAACGTACACTTTCGCTTCCAATCATCAAGTAGCATACTGCCTTTGGAAAAAAGGGACATGATCTCACTCACATCCTTAAATATATGTCTGAGAAAAGAAAATAAAAGGCAGCACTGAGGATAGAACAGATATAAGGACAGACTTAGTTCCTGAACTTTACAGACCGTAGAGGAAATTATACAAATTAATAGATATAATTGCAATAGAGGGATAAGGGAAAAGGTGGAGAAATAGAATGAGACAGTTGAGGAATTAACAAGATGTTTGAAATTTTATTTGAAAACTATTGAATATAGTGTATTCAGTACATGTAGAAAAGTAGAAGCTTGAAGATAATAAAAATGTACTGAAAATCAGTTGAAGTATTTGAGATTCTGAGTGGGGCAAAATCATATATGTATTTTTTCTAATGAAATGAGAGAGAGAGGTAGTATATAAAGAGGAATAGTCAAAGATTATCACCTACATAAAGGTAGGATTTACAAACCATTAGAAAATATTCTCATGAATCAGAATCAAGAAATATATTATCAATTTGTATTCATCTAGCGAACATTTAAGGTTTCTCTTATTAAGGCCCATCTATCATATTTAGAAAAAAGAATTCTTCCATTCATCTTATTTTTCTTCTTCTTCTTCTTCTTTTTTTTGTTGGTAATTTTTACAGTCTACATGTTCCTTTTTCATGGTAATTTTTTTATGTTGGTAATATCAGGCTTATTTGGAAAAATTAGACTGTTTTGAAGGAGATTTCATCTTCACAAAGATGATTACGAAAAACTCTCAAGAATATTTTAAAATTATGTTATCCAAAATCCTTTGGTTCAATGGTTTAGGAGGATGAGTATTTAAGGGACTAATATGATTTTTGGTTTCTATCTCATATGTGATGTTAGAATTTACATTTTGTATGTTATAATACTTCTAGTATTTTAACAT